GTGGCGTCATCCTAGCTCACAGCAACCTCAAACTCCTGGGCTCAAGCGATCCTCCTGCCTCAGCCTCCCGAGTAGCTGGGACTACAGGCACACACCAGGAAGTCTACCTTTTCTATTTTTAGTAGAGACAGGTCTCACTCTTGCTCAGGCTGGTCTCAAACTCGTGATTTCAAGCGATCCTCCCGCCTGGGCCTCCCAGAGTGCTAGGACTACAGGCGTGAGCCATTGCGCCCAGCCCCTCCCAGTTTTTAAATGCCGAAAACACTCTGCCAGTAGATTGTGTTGTCAATTCTAGCACACAAGGAATTAGAATCCTGTTCTGGCTTGCGGAGTGCAGAGGAATTGCAGGATTTTGCTGGGCGTTTCACCTTCTAATTCACTTTTCCTTTGCATGATCTTCTCTTTCAAATGTTGTTCTTTTCTCTGTCCTATAGGCAGCTCACTTGCAGGCATTTGTTCCTCGTTCGTTTCTTGAGTGGTTGTATTCTATCTGCCACAGGCTTACAAACTTCTGGAGGCCAGTAACCTGATCTTCTGTTGGTATCCTTGCAGGGCACCCAGGCCCACAGACTCATTTAAATTTGTTTACCTATTTTTTCTTCCCTCAAAGAGCAATAAAAAAAATGACCTTAGCTTCATAATCCTCAGCCCTGAATTATAGAACAAGGCCTCCTATTAGTGATTTTAATTTCCATCCTATCAATCAATTGTGTTTTGGCTGGATACCTCAAAGTTAAACATCATAAAGCTAGATTTAATGTTAACTTATTGCCATATAAATGGAAATATCCTTTTCATATTTCACTTTCCATTTCTGTTAGATCATAATAAAAATTAAATCCATCTAGCTCTAGCGTATGATAATGCATGTTTACAGACAAGAATAGAAATCAGAAGGGTAGATTTGAAGATGGGTTTCAAAATGACAAACAGATATTTATTTCAGACTTTATTTTTTAACAAGCAAATATTTGTGCTTTGTAAAATTCACTGGATTTTTTTTCTTATAAATTATGATGAGGAAGATAAAATTTAAAACTACATATGCAAGTTTTTAAAATGTTAATTTTTTTTCTTTTTTCCTAGTAGAGATCGTTCCATTGCATAAAATGCTAATTTTTTGTCAGCTAAGAAAGTATTTTGGATATATGCCTGCCATTATTTTATTTTTTTCTTTTCAATAATTATTTTATTTATTTTTTTATTATTCCAGGGTTTTGTGAGGGTACAAACATTATAGTTACACTGTATGTCTTTGCCTCACCCAAATGCGGGTTAAAGGCATGCCCTTCCCTCCCTTTAGTGCTCCCCATGTCCTTTAGTTGTAGATTTTCCCCCCATCCTCCTAATCCCTAGAGAGTATTTCTGCCATGTGATCACCCTAGTGTTGATCAGTTAGTACCAATTTGATGGCGAGTACAAGTGGAGCCCATTGTTCTGCTCTTGTGGTGCCCCACTTTGGATAATGGGCTTAAGTTTAATCCAGGAAAGTATAAGAGGTGCTAGATCACTGTCGTTTCTTATGATTGAGTAATATTCCATTGTAAACATATACCGGATTGTCAATAATTATTTTTAACATATAAATAAATTATAAACATGTTTTCATCATCAAAGGTTTAAGAAATTTGTAAGTATTTTCAGTAAAATAGGTAAGTTTTTATTTCTGTTCTGCTTTTTCCATTCCTCTACTTAAAAATAACTGCAATATTAGTTCGGCATGTATTCTCCCTCTTTGGGATATATTTTACACAGCTAATAATAAATCTAATTTCTCAGAGAGTGTATCAGAAAGATACATCAATTAAGCATGGAGACTGGCATTGAAAAACTATATCATAATTTACCATTTAGTGCATTCTTATGATGTAGCATGCACGGCGCTAAAGTCTGTACATATATATTGGTACAGGAATACAGACGTGTATAATACATTTATTCTTTATAGCAACAGTATGAGGTAGGTGCTTTCAATCCCCCATATTACAGATAAGGAAACTGAGGCTTATTAAA